TCATCTTTTTAAGTGGGAGAACTTGCACAATTGGTGGCTGACTAAATACTTTTTTGCCCCACTGTATATATCAACAGTTCATTGCCACAAATGAAGTATAGATTTATTCTTCCAGGATTCAGTATTATGTGTCAGTCTGTCTGTCTATCCACCATTTCTTGTTTTGTTTTATAGATTCCAAGCCCTAAGATGCAATAAAGATAAACATATTACTTAATAAACGTATGCATTTTTGACATGCAACATGGTCTACAATAATGTTAACAATCCTATGGAATGCTATCCCAAATTGGTAATTCTAGGACAAGCCCACACTATATGAGTTCATGTTCCAATTTCTGATTTGCATTTCCAGTAGGACAGCAATGGCAGAGAATAAACATTCTCTGAATTGTCCTCTGTTACACAAACAAGATTTTAAATTGTACTGACCTCATTTTAAGATCAAAGAAAATTTCATATTCTTGCAAGAACAGGACAAACCTGTTATATCAGTGGTAACATGAATTATTAACATCAATTTCCTCAAATTCCTTCACCTATTTATAAACAGTGGTTACAGAATTAATCCTGATCACTGCACTGTGAGCTGAACCCACAAACATGGCCTTTTCCAGCTGACCTGGTGAATGAGTTGGATAATATTGTACATCCCATGCATGTTTTATTGTTTGTATTGATGGGTTAGTCTGTTTTAATTTTTCTTTGTAAGCTACAGTGAATCTGAATAGAGTTTGTGGTGTATAAATCTAATAAATAAATGGGCATTCCTCCATTCCCCACTTTCTCCATTTCCTGTTCCACATTTGGGGGGAACTGATAATTCCCCAACTTTCCAGAAAAGTATTGTGGTGGGGAATCTGAGAGCCTTAAGTTGCCTTGAGTTTACCAAAAGCCCTAATTCATGATTCTCCTCTCCATCTTTATGTGCTATCAGTACTCCATGGATCTCAGTGATTATACTGTCATTTAGATGCATTTGACCTAGTTTGCTAGGAAGAGAAAGTCATTCCAGATCCTTGTTTATTTTGTAATGTATACCATACTCTGTGTGTACATGCACACCTTTGAATCAGTCTTGATAGCTTTGTAGCTTTTAACCTTTTTTGATTCTCAGGTCTAATGACCATTTCTGATGCAGTGATTCTTTCATATAAAATAATAATAATCTCCTAATATGTCCTGTTTCTATTGTATTGGAATGTATTTTTCATTTTTTGAAAACACATATTTTAGAAATATATGCCCCAAATGAATTCACATACTTGTTTTCACAAAATTTTAAAATTGGGCAAGGCTACATTGACCAAGATGATACTTGGACTCATCGATATATAGACTTCTATTTAGAAAATAATATTTCCACTTTATTCTACATTCCTTCTTTCTTAATTAAAAATGTTCTTAAATTCCTAGGGCTAATATAGGTGATGTTATCAAAACTGCAGTGGCATTCAGTTCTCATACTTGGATTTTTGGTTTAGCTAAATATACTGCAGGTTTTGGAGAAAAATATGATTGATATGATATGATATGATATGATATGATATGATATGATATGATATGTATAGGTAGTCCTTGCTTAACAACCATTCATTTAGCGACCGTTTGAAGTTATGATGGCGCTTTCAAAAGCAATTTAAGACCAGTGCCCAAAGTTTCGACCGTCGCAGTGCCCCTGTGGTCATGTGATCGCGATCCAGGCACTTGGCAACCAGCTCACATTTATGACGGTTGCAGTGTCCCAGGGTCAGGTGATCACCATTTGTGACCTTCTCAGCCAGCTTCCGGCAAGCAAAATCAATGGGGAACCATGTGATTCACTTAATGACCATGGTGATTCACTTAACAACCACCACAAAAAAGTCATAAAATTGGATCAGGTCATGTGATGATTCACTTAACAACCACATTGCTTAGCAACTTAAATTCCGGTCCTAATTGTGGTCGTTAAGCAAGGACTACCTGTATATGTTACCATTTAAAAAAAAATACCTGCTTGCACAATAGATATTTTCCCTCTCCACTGCAAGCTCTCATGTTTCCCCTAATCCTATTTCTGAGGTTTCCGTAGTCCTTTGAAAGGAGATCCTTTCTACTGATGGAAGCAGTTCTATCTGCCCAATTGCTTGATTTGATTCTACTTCTTTGCCTTTTATTCATTTTTTAAGCTTTTATAGAGAGGGGTTTTGTCCCATTTATCCATCACTCCTAAATTACTAGATTTCCTTTGACCCAGAATCTAGGTCAGAAGAGGATACGGGAATTGTAAGATTTATGTTTTAATTGATTTTCTAAAAATTGAATTGCCATATGCAGTAATTTTGTTAATTTAGAAATAAAATGGAGAAATGTTATCATATTTGTAATTCATACTTGTATTAATGTTGGGAATATGATTATTAATATTACTTTGACCTACAGCATTTTTGGCAACATGAATGTCAGATGTTAGGATCTATTATTCATGCAACTCAAAAAGATAGATCTTTCACTCTTGGAGCAACTGCAGTGGAATTCAGAATTATCCAACAACGTGTAACGTAGAGATGGTTAATGAAGAAAATGTTCCTCAGAAGTGTGTGGTATCTTTTTTTGAACCTGTTATTCTACAGAAATAAAATTTTAGCAGAACTCTTACATGGAGAAAATTTGACATTTGATTCTTCTTAACAACAGGAGTTATATCCAATTATGCAAGCCCATCAACCAAATGGCCTCTCCTTTTCTACAGTCTCTAGATCT